CGTGATTGTGGTAATTTGTTATAGCAGCCATAGAAAAGTAACACACTGAAAGGATAACAAAATGTTAAGTTATTTTATTGATAGGATACTAAATTGGAGGGGGTGATTTGTTGTGTGTCAATAGACAATCAATTCAGATTTTGATGCCTAAATGTGGGCTGTTGCCAAAGTAAACCTTAGAATATGAGAGAAATTTTGAACCAAACAATGGGAAGAAACTAGAAGGACCTTGGGGAGAGTGTTAGGAAAAGTCTAAAGGGCTTTCACAAGAAGCCATGAAAGCCTGGTGGCCTGGGAGGAAGCTGACAGTGAGGTTTTACAGGAAAGTTGGGAAAGTTTTATTGGAAACTGGAGGAAAGGTGATCCTTGCTATGCAGTGGCAAAAATTTTAGCAACAGTGTTGCCTGTGGTAACCAAAAGTAGTAAATGTATTTAGTGAACTAAGCCATCTACCTAAATAGATTTCCAGACAGTGTGAAGTGCCCTGGCTAGTGTGGCTCAGTGGATTGTTCACTGGCCTAGTGAATCAACAGGTTGCCAGTTCAATTCCCAGTTAGGGCACATGCTTGGGTTGTGGGCCAGGTCCCTGGTAGGGAACATGTGACAGCTATCCAACTGATGTTTCTCTTTCACATGGATATTTCTCTCCTTCCCTTCCTGTCTCTCTGAAAATAAGTAAATAAAATCTTAAAAAAATAAACTATAACATTTTGTTTTAATTTCTGTCTTCTAAAACATTAGTTAATTTCCTCTCACGGATTACTACTTCTTTGTGGTTTTTTGTCTTTATTCTGTTTGGATTTTCAGTTTCCATCTCCAAATTACCTACCTCGTTTTTTTTACATTCTTCACCAGACAGCCTTTTTTCAATAACCTTCAATTTATCTAGAACAAAGAAAATGCTGTAATAATCCCTTAGAGAAAAAAATCACACATCTATTGTTTCTTCAAGAAATAGAAACAAGAAAAAGTCAAATACTTTTTATTCACTGTTTTTGTGGTGTATCTCTTTATAAATTACTCAAAATAGCTGGTAAATATAGTATGAGATCAAGTTTGTGAAAATACTTAGTAAACTATAAAAATTTATATAAATGGAAGGCATTGTTATAAGGTATTTGTTTTAATTTTTTAGAAAAGAACATTGCTTTTGAAATTTCTCTCACATTACGAAATTTTAAGTTGGGATAAGTTAGGTGAACAACTGAAAATGATTATTCAAAATGTAATTTTCTCTTTAACTCTTCTGAAGTCCTGACCACACAACCTTACAAGCCGATAGAAGTCAGTAAAACTGATACTCTCAAGAAATTTACAAAAAAATTACAACTCAGAAATTCTGAGCCCACTGGTTGTTGAAATGATGAATGGAAAATAACCCACACCAAAGCACATGATAAAATTCTAGAATACCTTGGATAAAGAGATAATCCTAAAACCTTCCAAAGAGTAAAAACAAGTCACATTCAAATAATTAAGACTCAGAATGGTTTCTAGAACTCTCCAATGAAAAAGGATGGCTGAAAACAGTGGATGTCTTCAAAATTTTGAAGGATGATGATTTTCAATCAAGAATTCTCTATCTTAACACACTTTATCAATCAAACATGAGAGTGGAGCAAAAGCATTTGAAGATAGTCAAAGACTCAAATGATAACTCCCAAGCACCCTTTCTTGGAGATCTACTACAGGGCATGCTTTAGCAAAATAAAGGAATAAGCAAGAGAGATGAAGACATGGAATTCAGGAGCCGTGGCCCCAGCCCTGGTGGGCCAGGAGAAAAGTCCCAGGACCAGAGCTATGCAGCCGCCCAGAGCTGGGGCGGCCGCCCAGACTGGACGAGGTGCTGGTCAGGAGCGAGGTGGACTGTGCACAGAGCTGCTCACTTCCATCATAACTTTTAACTCTATGTAGAATGATAAATGTTACTTTAATAACATTTAAATTAATATGTTAAATTACATCCTGTGTTGAATCGTCCTCTCCACCACTTAAACGCATTCCTACCCAGCCAGGCCCTCCCAGCTCTGTGTACACACTGCTGCTACAGCACGTATCACAGAACCTTGTCAGCATTTGTTTATATGTCTGTCTCCACAGTTATGTCGGGAGCTTTGTGCAGGCCAGGCCTGTGCCGTTTCATCTTGATTTCCCAGCATCCAGCAGAGTGCCTGAGTGGCCAGCACACGTTTGACTGACTAACCCAAATACTGATTAAGATAGCTGCCTGAAAGAAATTCCTAAGAAGGACTATTTTATATGGACATGTTAGAATTTCAAATCAGAGGAAGAGTCTATTTCAAATAACTAACATTTCAAGAATATTCTCTTGACATTAATGTTTAACTATCAACAGATGAAATGATGATGTCCACAAAATGCCTTAATTCATTCACTGAAGAGCTATTAAATGTCCATTTTATGCCAGGAAGTTTTCAGTTTGCTGTAAACTAGGTAAAGATTTCTAGGGGGAGAGGGAGGAAATAGATAGATTACAAATAAAGACATGAAAGTACGCTGTGCTGGGTAAGGGGACAGAGAATGACAGTGGGGGAGAATGAGGCGCTCTCTAGCCAGGGTGGCCAGGGCAGGCCTCCCTCACCTCCCTGTTCCTCCTCTGCTTCCCTCCACCGGATCAGAAAACTGGGCAGCCTTAGAAAACTCCCAGTGAGATTCTAGTCAGGACTTCCTTGGGCTAAGTATGACTTCTGAAGTTGAGGTGGAAGAAGAGAGAGAAGAGAAGGCAGCTCTACCCTCCTTCCCTGCCTTAGGGTGACAAAGCAGAACCAGCTCTCTGGGACTCAGAAAAGGATTCCTTGCCCTCCCAAAGGCTCTGAAGGGGGCCGCTGTGAGGTCTTTGAAGAAATTAACACTTCTTCACTAGAGCGAGAGCTTTGAACTGAAAGCAAGTACCCAGGGCACCCACCATTCCTCTTTAGCTGCTGCCATTCAGTGATGAATGGGATTTGCCTGAGATAAGTGGGAATATGATTGCTTAGTGGACATCAAACCCAAGGGAAACTTTAGGATCAATCTTTAAAGTAAAAATCTCATTAAATTCTTAAAACAATGTAATTAAGATGGACTAATTTTTGTCATACCTACCCATCCCAAATATGTAGTCATACATCTTTATCATGGAAAATGAAAACATATAAAACTACTCAGTGTTTGTTTACAGTTCTGTTATCACTAAAAACACTACAAAAGAAAGTTGCTCTCCATTATAAAAAAAAGTATTTATTGGTAGACAATTTTTTAAAAGAGAAGTTTCTTTTTAAAAAATATTTAATTTATTTATTTCTAGAGAGGGGAAGAGAGGAATAAAGAAAGGGAGAGAAACATCAATGTGTGGTTGCCCCTCACATGCCCCCCACTGGGGACCTGGCCCACAACCCAGGCATGTGCCCTAGACTGGGAATTGAACCAGTGACCCTTTGGTTCACAGGCTGACACTCAATCCACTGAGCCACGCAGGTCAGGGTAGTAGATAGTATTTTTTAATAATTATTGGACAACTACTAACCTGTTAAGCCATCAGTCTTCATTGTTAATAAAAATATGAACTTCCAAAATATAAATTTTCTGAACAATGCTTGCCAGAGCAAAGTTATTTTAATCTATTTATATGCTTATATAGCTCCCCACATTTGTTTACCTTTTCTTCTCTAACTCTTATAGCCAAGAAATCTAGAAAACACCTAGCAGTGATCAAAAAACCTTTTGTTATGTTACAGAAACTTCAAAAAATTATATTCTATAATTATAATGATTAAAGCTAACCTATTAACCCTAACCACCTTTACATGGTATCTATCCCTTGCCAATGAAAGCCATACAATCTACAAATTAGAGAAATGCGTATGTGTGTTTGTTGCTGGAAGCATGGGTACTTAGTGTCAACAATCTATAGGTGTATGAGCTCTTAGATAGAGATGGAGAACTATGTGGATATAGCCACCCAACAGAGAGTAAACCACAATTACTAAACACCACTAGTGCTATGATTTACTGTAGATAGGAGCAAGAGTAATAGTGAACCAATACATTGTAAAAACTTGAAATTTTCCACTGACATAAAGTGCATTTTCAATGAGACGTGAAGTACTTACCAACTTAGAGAGGTCTTTGAGCAGGTGATCAAGAAAAGTATTGGTTTATAAAACCTAACTCAGCAAGCAATGACTAGCAGTTGCCACTATTTGTGTATGTGTATGCCACCAACATTTTGTGTATGTGTATGCCACCAGCATTTCCCATGGCAGGGAGTGGAGAGCTTGGCATTCCTTGAAACCTGGTGTGCTGGCCAGGAGAGTTGGGAGTGGGGCAGATACCATTCAGAGGCCTCTAATTTTGACCTACATTTCTCACCCTACTCCTACATCAGCCCCACCACACACATACGGACCACGGACTATAAACTGTTAGCACACTTCATCCATCAGGACACAAAATGAAAGGCAGTTTCTTCCTTTGAAAATATGGGGACCTCCTGGTCCACTGTGTGCAAAGCACTTTGCTAGGTGCTATGCAAAGGTGTTGAGGCATGGTGCACTATTTGAGGACATTCATAAAAGATTTATGAATGTACTAAATAAAAGCTTAGCATGGATGTGTCTAAAAATGGAGTGCTGAGGTCCCTTTGGACCCCTGGAGTGCCTCTAATGAAGCATGAAAGTGTTGGGGACAATGTCTTCCTGCACAGCATCCCCCCCCCCAACCAGCTTTCTGTTTTTTCTCATCTACCAAACCCAACATGACTACCTTTTCGGTGGTCGGGAGATCTGCAGAAGGACCCTCTGGGAGATAGAAATTTCTAAATCCCACAGTAATGTTGTAAATTTATTCCAAAAATTCTATGCCTTTGTTCTAAACATTTTTTTCACCTGTTGGTCTCCTTTCCAGATTTTTCCCTACACTTCTCTTCAGTATCCTCAAATTTTTCATTTCCTTACTTTTTCTTAAATTATATCACATAGAGATGAAAATAGAATTCTTACGTGAAAATAATTCCATTGCTGAAGAAGAGAGAATGATTCACTTTCAGATGCCAGAAATTATATTTATGCATCCCATTCCCATGTTTCATGAATGTGTGTATTCTGCTTATTATTTCTTGGGTGCATTGTCATAGGATGCCTGAAAGAAAAGTTCAGTTGATATTAAATCCTGTTTCCTGTAGACTTTTGAACACAATCAAAGACAGATATGAATCAAATGATGAAGCCACTTTTGCTGTGGTTACAGAAACAAATACACACAAAGCGATAAAGCACAGGCCAGACAAGCCCAAATTTGAATCTGCATTATCATTTATTGGTTGTATGACCCTGAGAAAGTTTCTGAGCCTCGGCAAGTCCATGTCATCTTCTACAGAATGGATTAGCTGTTGCTGTTACTGATACTATTTTGCTTTCCAAACATTTCACCCTCTTGGTTATTGTCTGCATGCATTCTACACCTTGACCCTTACCATGTGGAATTCAGAGATGGATATAATATGCTAGACCTCGTATAACCAGAGCAGCAGATAGTGAGACTAAACCTTCCTTGTCTTGGACAGTACCTACAAACACAGCACAGGTTTGCATTAGCAGGACTGCAACCACACAGTGTTGGCTCAGTGTGATCAATATCTATAGGTCCTTTTCTCAAAACCTGCAGTGAATTCAGGTTCCAGCATGCCCAACCCTTAACTCCTGTCCATCAAACACAATTAAATCCATCAAACAACAAACAAACAAAATCCCCCAGGAGCTTATATTTACCTCAGTTTCCATGTCATTTGAAAAGTGAAGGAGCTGTGTCTCATTCATCATGTGGCCCAGCTGTACCAGTTGTCTGTGGTTTGCTGGTTCATGCAAAGCAGGAAAAAAAAGTGGCAACATCAGGTAGCCTGTGATAGGACAATGGAAAGTGTGCCAGCCAGCCCCAGTGAGTAGTGTCATTTCAGAGCATAAGAAATATAGGCACAACTCTTGGCTAGTAAAAATGGTCTTGTAAGAATCTGTCAGTAGTTCTATTTGTTCACCTCCAGCCATCACTCCTCTCTCTAGTCTACTTTTCACAGGACAGTGAGAGTTCTAAGCATAAGAACTCTGCTTTAAGTAGACTTGGGGGAGAATCATGCTTTTGTCACGAATCTGCTATATGAACCAGACTAAGCTTCATAGCCTCTCTGAGCCTCAACTCACTAGTAAAACAAGGATAGAAATACCTAGTTTATCTGGTTGTGAGAACTAAGGTAAATTTGCTAAAATACCTGGCACAGGACACATAGCAGAGAGTACACCACATGCAACCCATCCAAAGGGCAGCCTTTGGGAAATCATGGCCCCCAGGAAGAGTTCAAGCTCCTTAGCCTGGCATGAGGCCTCTTTTGGCATGCCCCCCACCTTGTCCCTCTACCCTTCAATGTAGCCTGTACTAGCAGTAATGACTTGTAGTTTCTTCAGTATGTCTTGATCTTTCATAGTTCAATGCCATAGCCATACTATTTATTCTCCCTGGAAGACTAACCCCAATCCAGTCCAATTACAAAACTTCCACACATCCACACAATTCACCACAGATAACAGCTCCACTGGGAAGCACGTGCTGGGAGATAGTTGTTTCTGGTTCTCTCACATTTCTGTACACCTTGCAAGAGAGGAACGAGCTGCACTTTGGTCTGGACTTCCTCTTCAAGGGTGTTTGCGTAGGGAATAGCCATGGAGTATAGAGATAGTGTCTCCCTCCAGAGCAAAGGGCAGGCCTACTCATGACCATTATAAAAGATTTAGGTTCCTTAAGCTTGGGCTTCCTTTCCTGTAGCACAACCCACTGTATGTGCAAGTGACATCTGGCCCTCACTGTGCTGGCCTGCGGGATGTGAGACATGGGGACAGATAAAAAATTGCTGGTACTCTGGTTACTACATTGCCATGAGTAATAACTGTCCTTCACCTCTGACACAGGAGTTTTGTGTTTTCTACCAGTACTCATAAAATAGCAGTAGGCTAACTTGATAGCATGCAAACAGGGTAAAAGCTGGGACTCTTCATACTTCTTGGGGGTGTGCTCCCTCCCTTCCCCTTTCATGTCACTGTAGGAGTGTAAATTGCTCTGTAAGCTGTATTCTCAATATATCCTGAACATTGCAGATTTTATCACAATATTCAGTGGCTACATAATTTTCTTATAACTCAATCTGCAACAGTGCCTGGAACACACTGAATGCTCAGTACTTTGTTGAATGAGTGAACATGTCTGCCCTTAGCAGGTCCTCTAAGACTCGCCCCACTGCTGGCGTGTATCCAAAGGGATAGCTAGGGCTCTTGCCTTTAGTTCTAAATGTCCTGTGCTCACTTCTGCTATAAACCCTTTAGCGCCTCCCCTTTCCTTCCCCAGAAGGACCCCCTCATTTCTGGTACTTGATGAATTACCACCGGTTCCTGTCCTTGACTCTCTTATTTTCTCCTGGAAATCATGTACTAGTAACAATCTCCACTTGAGGAGTCCCCGGGACCTCTCTTCTTAGTATGTGCCTTCCTAGACAACTACCAGGAGTGGAAGAATTTTACTTTCGTACATTAGTTCTGCATTGTGTTACATGTAAATTCAGATAAATATGTTCCCTGTAATTTCAATTCGAGCCAGTGATAATAAATATAGAATAGATAAAGTCAACTCCAAGTATAGGACTTTTTACTATTCTACCAGAGAACTTTCCCAGTTGCTTTCCATCTATTTAATCAGTATTTCAATATAGTAATTCATTATTTCTTCAGCTAACAAATATCTATTCAGTTCCTCTTCATTGCAAGGCAGTGTGTCATTACTGTAAGGAACACAAAGACGAATGATATATGATTTGTGGCCTCAAAATGCTAATGAAAAATATGCACCACAAAATACTGTAAGACTTCAGACGAAATGACATCTGTGATGTCCCTGAAAATATAGATAATATTTGGAAGGGTCTCACTCACAGTGTGGAGGTGAAAGGTGAGGGAAGTATCCTTTGGGGAAGAGCTCCTGCAAAGACTCAGAGTTAGGACAATTCACGTGCCATTCAGCTACCACCATGGGTTGTTCACTTTGGCCTGAGTGTTGAACACATAGAGAAAAAAAATGACTATACATTTTTAAATATTTTATTTATTTATTTCTAGACAGATGGGAATGGAGGGAGAAATGGAGAGAAACATCAGTGTGTGGTTGTCTCTTGCGTGCCCCCTACTGGGTACATGGCCCACAACCCAGGCATTTGCCCTGACTGGGAATCGAGCTGGCAACTCTTTGGTTTGCAGGCTGGCACTCAATCCACTGAGCCACATCAGCCAGGGCTGACTGACTATAAATTTGTAATGGTAAATTGGGGCCTGATTGGGGAGCCATTAGGATTAAAGAATTTGTTGTTTAATGAATACTTTGACACTTTACAGTCAACTGAAAGGGCAGTGAAAGTTTTTGATCAAAAGAAAAACTTGATCTCAGACAAATTAACCTAGTAGTAACAATAAAAATGAACTGGAGCATTGAAAGCTTGCAAGATTTTAGGAAAGTCTGTTGAGAGCCTATTCTAATGCAATGGAGAGGAACTGAGAACTGGCACATGGACAGCGACAGGAGAAAATGAGTGGAGGACAGATATTAAGAGATTTCAGAGAGAAACTTGGCAACATAGAGCCCTTGAGTAGAAGTGAGAAGATGCTTCAATCAAATGTTATTTTGCATAATCCTTTTAACACCCAATCAATAGCTCATGAAAATCATAAGTTGTGGGTAGTCAAATCTTTTCTTGAAATACAAATGTGTTTTGCTTTTCATTTCCTTGACCTACCCTGATTTATATATTCTTAGCTTCAGTCTTATCTTCACTCCTTTTCCAATGCATTTACAATCCTCTTTTTAAAATTTGTGGTAAAACAACACATAATATAAATTTACTCTTAACAATTTTAAGGGTGCAGTACAGTATTGTTAACTATATCAACATTATTGTACAACAGATTCGTAGAATTTTTTCCATCTTGCATAACTGAAACTCCGTACCCTTGAACCACAACTCCCCATTTTTTCTGCCCTCCAGTCCCTGGGCAACCACCATTCTACTTTCTGTTTCTGAGTTTGACTACTTCAGATGCCTTATATTAGTGGAATTATGCATTATTCTTTTTGTAATTGATTTATTTCACTTGACATAAGGTCTTCAAGCTTCATTCATGTTGTAGCATACAACAGGACTCCATTTCTTTTAGGGTCAAATGATATATGTATATATAATCCCCCAAACAGGATTATCTTCTGGAGGCCAGGCCCTTTGTAGTAGAGGCTTGCCGCACCAGGTGAATGTTCTAGGAACCCATCTGTATCAGTGTATCAGCTGGCATTGTTGTGAGAGGCTGTGTTAGTTAGGCTTCAGTTAATTTTTTTTTAAGACGCTTTCAACCTGTTTGCCCATTTCATGATGGGTGATTTATGAGTGAATCTGCCCACACCATGCTGAGTGTTCAGCAGTGTTTGACCAAAAACTAAGGGCCCCTGTGCCCCACCCTCTCTATTTACCTGATCTTGCCCCAAGCAACTTCTCTTTGTTTCCCAGGATGAAAAAGTTCTCACAGGGAAACATTTTACTGATGTGAAAGAGCTGAAAACAAAACACACATACACAAAAACAGAAGCACAAAAAGGCATCAAAATTGATGGGTTCAAAAATTGTTTTAAGCAGTAGAAAAAAACCTCTTGATAGGTGTATTGCATCAAAGGGAGAGTGCTTTGGAGGTGACTGAAGTTTAAACATGTAAGAATAAATGCACATTTAAAAAAATAAGTTCTGGTTTTTTTGAGATTATATATTTATATATATTCATTCTCATTCATCTGTTGATGAACATTTAGGTTGTTTCCACAATTTGGCTATGGCAAATAATGCTGTTATTAACATGGATTTGCTCATATCTCTTCAAGATTCTATTTTGCAATTCTTTTGAATATATACCCAGAAGTGAGATTTTAGTTCTACTTTTAATTTTTGAGGAAACTCCATACTGTTTTCCATAGCACCTGTATCATTTTACAATTCCATGAAGAATAACCACCCTTTTTAAAAATAATCAATTTTATGCCCTCACCCGTGTGGCTCAGTTGGTTGGACATCATCCAGCAAAGCGAAAGGTTGCACAGGCCTGGGCTGTAACTTTAGTCCCTAGTTAGGGCATGTCCAAGAGGCAACTAATTGATGTTTCTCTCTCACATGATGTTTTACTCCTCTTTCTCCACCCTTCCCCTCTCTCTAAAAATAAATAAATAAAGTAAAAAATAATCAATTTCAGAATGTTTCTGATGGCAACATTCTGAAAGCTCATCAATGAGTGATTCCTGGAATCGTGTGACGATCATAGCATGTGATCCTCATCCAAGCTGGCTTTGTAACCAATACAGTAGGATCTCAATAAATATTCGTTAAATGAAAGATTAAACAACTCCAGACTTTTGCTGCATTTCCTCATTCTCTGTGTATGTGAATAGTCCTATCATTCCATAGAACCAGATAATGTTTAGAAGTCAGAGGGCTTGGAGATCATTTGATACAGCTGTATAATTTGAAGAGTGAAATTATGTGACTTCCTTCCCTCCCCCAAAGTTGGGCCAGGAGATTTGAATTTACTTATCAAACCCAATTCCTCTTTTTAAAAAACCTACCTTCAGCATAGCTCAGTAGATTGAGTGCAAGCCTATAAAGGAAAAGGCTGCTGGTTCGATTCCCAGTCAGGGCACATGCCTGGGTTATAGGCCAGGTCCCCAGTAGGGGGGTATGTGAGAGGCAGCCATACATTTATGTTTCTCTCTCTCTCCATTCCCCTCTGTAAAATGAAACAAATAAAATCTTTTTTAAAAGATCTACCTTTAAGTTTCAGGGTTCTTTTTTTTTAACTATATAGGCTCTACTTTTTTCAGTCTGAAAATAATTGTCCTTGTTTTAGAACATCAAGGCAAAGTAGGGCTTAGTTAGTCATTTATCTCAATGAGATTTATCCTTCAAGGGGGAAAGTTTGGGAGCTTAAACACCTAAGCACTTCTACTTTCAGGACCAGTTTAGGAACTATTCAAAGAAGGCATCAGAGTTTCCATCAACATAATTACCAAACAAATTAATCAGATTTGACTCTTAAACACTTGAATATTTCAAAATTAAGCTAATTCTGAAAGGACCAACATTTGTCACTATTGGGAATATTTACCAACTAAATATGGATAATAATGGCCACTGTTTATAGAGCTATGCACCAAGTACTTTCCATGCATTATTTAGTATCACAGCAGCTATTGGTACTATATCTATTTACATTAAAAAGCTGACTTTTGATTGTGTAACTTACCTATGTCAAATTGAAATTTGAACTCTAGTCTGTGAGCCACCCAAAACCATGCTCTTAGCCACTGCAGTGCTTACCTGACTATATGCTGGAATCTATGGGGCATTTGAGAGCTGGGAAACAAGCCCTGAAGTAGCTTATGCAGCTAGTACATCATAGAAGGCAAGCATTATACATGAAAGAAAATGTAACTGTCCAAGAAGACATGTACTGTGTTATTTAAAGAAGTAGGCCATAAATTCTGAAGTCAGAATTTAGGAAGAGGTATTTAGAAAAAAAGAAAGGAAAGAAAAGAAGACAGAAGTTTACATTAAATTCTTTAAATTTAAAGAACAGAAAGGGTCACAGTAGAAGCAAAAAGCCAATCAGAAGGCATGGATTCTATTTTCCAGTTATCACATACTAATGAGTGATCTTGGGTATACAGCAAATTTTATATAATATGGTATAATCACATCATCAGAATAAGTTTTTTGCTGCTTAATATGGGACAGTAAATATACTAGAAACGTTTGATAGGACTGTTTACTCATTACATTATGTATATCATCATATGTATTATATTATTATGTATATTATCATATGTATTATATTATATTAGGTTTTTTCATATTAGATGCAATGCAATGTTCTTCCCTAGTGTGACTCAAGGCCCAAAGCCGTCTATAAGAACGAAAGTCTCCTGTGATTAACTGAAATATTAAAGAAAAGACAAAGTGGCAGTTAAAAAAAAAGTTCTTCCCTTGCTTTTAGCTTCTCTCTCCCCTCCCCCAGCCTTTATTCTCCTGACTTATTCAAGAAAGAGAGCACAGGAGCTCTGTTATCCAGGAAATATGAGCACTTTGGGTCAATTGAAGGGAACTGGGAGGAGAGGGAGTCAAGAGAGAGAAGAATGTCACAGAATTTTTTTTTAAAGCACCTAGTTTAGTGGCACACAGGAATATCATTTTGTATAAATTTATCAGGTAATTAAAATATTCTTGTAGAAGTTTCATTCTATTACTATCAAACATTTTCCCTTTCCATGAGCCTTTATTCTGATACTTTAGTTCAGAATTCATGTAAATTTTAAGTAAGGTTTTGGAGGTAACGTAGCCAAGGGTTTTACTGTCTTTCACGCATTGAGTAGAAACTGTCAAGTAGACTGATCCTTATTATACAGTAAAGCTTCCGGGGAGGGTTAGTGCTGCCCTCCCAGCAGATGTTCTAAAACTGCTGATCCCCCTCTTTTTTCATAAGGATTTGGGGAACATGCTAAAGAGAATATATTGATGTCTTAGTGACAAAAGCTAGCTTTCTGTCAGCACTTTTCATTAAGGTGGGCTTTTAGCCTGTACCCTCATCACGTGCCATAGATTTAGTTTGGGATTAGCAAATGGTAATCCACATGTAACGCTCTCTACGGTCAACACACATTTGGCCATCTGATTATATTTTTTATATGTACCTTTTAGCTCCTCTTGCTATGGTTAGTTTTAAGAGATGTGAACAAATTCACCAACTTGTGTCTTTCCTTGTTACTTTAATTTCTAACCAGGTAGTCTGTCAAAGCCTAGTCCCCTAGAGCAAGTTTAGAGAATCTAAAAATCTCCAGATCCTCAGTTCTTCGGACAGGGCCTTTTGTGAGCGCAGTTCTCACAACTCATAGAAGTTGACCAACTTGAGAGATAATAAAAACATCTCCTCCAAAAGTACTTGT